ACCTGTCTCCCCTGTCTCCCCTGTCCTCACCTGTCCCCACCTGTCTCACCTGTCCCTCACTTGTCCCACCTGTCCCCACCTGTCCCACCTGTCCCCACCTGTCCCCACCTGTCCCACCTGTCTCACCTGTCCCAGGTGCATCTCCAGGACCCTCCCATGTCCCAGCAGTGCCCAGTGCTGGATGCCACCTTTGGGGAGGCTGGCGCTGCCCGCTGGGCACACGTCAGTGCTGGGGAGTTTGGGGGTGCCTGGGTGGGTTTGGACGGATTTTAGGGGATCCTGATGGAGTTTTTGGGGGTGTCCTGAAGGGATTTTGAGGGTCCTGATGGGATTTTTGGGGGGTCCTGGGGGGGGTTTTAGTGTCCCTTGGGTCGGGAGCAGCCGTTATCCCAGAGCAGGGCACCGTGTTCGGGGTGCCCAACCGTGCTCAGACCCCTCCTGCACCCCAATTCCCGCACCCCAATTCCCCCTGGACCCCCCCGGGGCCTGGGGCCCCCCCATGGCCGGGCTGGTGCTGCCCCCTGCGGGTGACGGGGCCGCGGTGCAGGCGGAGAGCGGGAAATGGGATTGGGGTGCTGGGAAAAGGGATTGGGCTACAGGAAAGGGATTGGGGTACGGGAAAGGGGATTGGGGTACAGGAGAAGGGATTTGGGTACAGGAAATGGGATTTGGGTACGGGAAACGGGATTGGGGTATGGGAAAGGGATTGGGGTACCAGGAAATCCAGGTACAGGACAATCCCATTCCACCCCTGCCATGGCAGGGACACCTCCCACTGTCCCAGGCTGCTCCCAGCCCTGTCCAGCCTGGCCTTGGGCACTGCCAGGGATGCAGGGGCAGCCCCAGCTGCTCTGGGCACCCTGGGCCAGGGCCTGCCCACCCTGCCAGGGAACAATTCCTGATTGCCAAGATCCCATCCAGCCCTGCCCTCTGGCACTGGGAGCCATTGCCTGGCTCCTGGCCCTGCAGGCCTTGTCCCCAGTCCCTCTGCAGCTCTCCTGGAGCCCCTTCAGGCCCTGCCAGGGGCTCTGAGGTGTCCCTGGAGCCTTCTCTTGTCCAGGTGAGCACCCCCAGCTCTCTTGGAGGACACAGGAGGACACCTGGGGGATCCTTGTGGCTGTTTTTAGCACAGGAGAGCTGTGCTGGGCAGCTCCTTGTGGCACAGCCAGCGCTCCCCAGGGACTCTGAGGAGCCACCAGGCCAGGAGTGAAGCAGTTAAACTCTGTATAAAACACAGCCTGGTGATGTTGTGTTGTATAACAGACAGATAATACGTTTTTTTTCCCCAGCATCTGTGCTCCAGCTTGCCTGAAAAGCTGCAGACCTGAATTTCAACCCCTGTCAGCAGTTCCAGTCCAGCCTCGCAGCGCTGTCACTGCAGTAAATTACCGGCTTGGGTTAATCTGCCCGAGCACAGAGAACCGAGATCCCTGCAAATGCATCTCCCAGACATCCCCTGCGAGCTGCAGCTTTAAAACCCATCCGGGGGTGTGGGAGCGTCGGGGGTGGATGGTGGGGATGGACGGAGATGAGAGATCTCTGCAGCCAGGTCAGGGAAATTGCATTTATTGCAAAGGGCCTGGGTGCAGGGCCCTGCTGGGAGCTGCAGCCACAACTCAGAGCAGGCCTGAGAGAAGAGAGGGGGAGAGAGGATGAGAGGGTGAGAGAGTAAAAGGGTAAGAGAGTAAAAGGGGTAAGAGAGCGAGGTTCCCGTTCCAATACAATAAATCTTCTTCTGTGTTGAATATTCTATTTCTCACTAACCAATCTAGTACACGATACAAATCCTGTAGCATTTCCATACAGCCTATAACAATCATTACATTACCATACTGTGTCACATTTTAAACCCTAAAAACTCCTCTTTGGGCCCCTTCTGCCAGGCTGGCAGGGTCTGCTCTGACCCTTGGAGCTGTCTGCAAGCAGAGGGTGTTGTTCCATCAATAGGGGATCACCTTCAGCTGGCCATGCCATTGTTTTCCAGTTGTTCAGTAACTGAGGGATCTCAAAGCTTGCTTTCATTTCAATCTCGCTTATAGTTTCTATATTCTCAAAATCTTTTGCCAGGCAATCCTATTTATGAGGCTTTCCTGTTTCATCTTCCCCAACACGGGGGAAGCAGAGCCGGGGTTTTATTGGAAGGCAAAGAGAAAAGCTCAGCTCCCGAGGGAGCGCGGCCCAGGGGAGGGGAGATAAAGCCACCCCGGCCCGGGGAGGGGGGGACAGGCCATTGTTCGCTACAAAGGACAGGAAACGAGCCTCAAAGGGGACATGAAAGAACCTTTAAACAAATGCAGATCAGCGAGCGGGGATGGCTCCGAGCATCTCCCGCCTGCGCTGCTGCGGGGCTCGGGGCGGGGACCGGGGACGCCTCGCGTGCTGGACCCGCCTTTCCCCCAGGATGGAGCCCTAAAGGGTCGGAGGAGCCTGGGATCACCCCGAGCCACCCATTGTGGTGGCTCGATGGTTGTAGAATCGTCACATCAATGAATGGTTTGGGACGGGAGGGACTTTAAAGTGCCACCCCTGCCATGGCAGGGACACCTTCCACTGTCCCAAACTGCTCCAAGCCCTGTCCAGCCTGGCCTTGGCCTCATGGTTAGACTCGTTGGTCTTAAAGCTCCTTTCCAACCTAAAAATTTCCATGGTTCTACCCCCATTCCCTTTCAAATCCTTTCATTCCCTCGGGGTGTGACTGAGCTGGGCAGGACACTCAGAGCTTGTCCTGATTGCAGGCTTGGGCTGCTCTCCTGCTCCTTCAGTGCCCCCAAAACTCATCCCATTCCCAAAACTCATCCCATCCATCCATCCATCCATCCATCCATCCATCCATCCATCCATCCATCCATCATCCATCCATCATCCATCCATCCATCATCCATCCATCATCCATCCATCCATCCATCCATCATCCATCCATCCATCATCCATCCATCATCCATCCATCATCCATCCATCATCCATCCATCCATCCATCCATGTCCATCCATCCATCCATCCATCCATCCATCCATGTCCATCCATCCATCCATCCATCCATCCATCCATCCCTCCATCCATCCATCCATCCATCCATCATCCATCATCCATCCATCATCCATCCATCCATCATCCATCCATGCATCCATCCATCCATCATCCATCCATCATCCATCCATCATCCATCCATCCATCATCCATCCATCCATCCATCATCCATCCATCATCCATCCATCCATCCATCCATCCATCCATCCATCCATCCATCATCCATCCATCCATCATCCATCCATCCATCCATCCATCATCCATCCATCCATCCATCATCCATCCATCATCCATCCATCCATCCATCCATCATCCATCCATCCATCCATCATTCATCCCTCCATCCATCCATCCATCCATCCATCCATCCATCCATCATCCATCCATCCATCCATCCATCCATCCATCCATCCATCATCCATCCATCCATCCATCCATGCATCCATCATCCATCCATCCATCCATCCATCCATCCATCCATCCTCCATCCACCCCAAATCTCCTCCATCCCCTCTGCCCAGCTCCACACAGCCCCAGACCTGGGTGGGTTTGGGGTCTCCTTAGGGCCCCCAAGGAGGGGGAGCTGCCTTGGTGCCTCTCTCTGGCTGGAGAACCCGAGCTGTGCTCAGCCAGAGCAGTCACAGAGGTGCCAAAAACGCGTTTAGGGCGATTTTTCTCCCCTTTCAGAGCAGATAGCCTTTATCAGCTCTGACAAAGCCTGGGTTTGGTCCTTTTGGAGCTGAGCCCCTGTGCTGGATGTTCTGCTCCTCCCAGTGACAGCAGGCTGGTGGCCCACAAAGGCATTTCCTGCCCTACAAGGCAGGCTGGTGGCCCTGTGCCAGAGGGGACAATGAGGGACAGTGGGGCCTGGCCTGGGAGCCCTCGTGTTCCTGTTTACTTGGATCAGAGACACTTCCCTGGCTCCTTTCTCAGCGATTTGGGGTGCAGGGCCAGGCAGCAGCGCCCAAATTCTGCAGGAATGTGGGGTCCCTGGCACTGGTGGCTCTGTGTCATCAGTGGGGACCTTCCCCAGCCCTGCAGAGGGGTCCCACCAGCTCTGTCACCCCCTGCAGGGACAGCGGGGCTGAGGTCACCTCCTGGGCCAGGGGCAGTGACAGCCCTGCCTGCCCTGTCCCTGTGAGGCCAGCAGTGTTCCAGGAGGGACAGCAGGGCTCCGAGTGGCCCTGTCACACAGGGAAGGGACAAACAGGGAGGGAGGTCCCGCTGTTATCTCGTCCTTCCTGCAGCCAGAGCCCGACACACACCCTGCCCTTATCAGCCCTGCCCGCGGGCAGGGAGGGGCTGGGACAGCGACAGGGACGGGGACAGGGGCCAGGAAGGGGGACAGGAAGGTGGCACTGGGGACAAGAATGTGGCACTGGGGACAGGAAGGTGGCACTGGGGACAGGAACATGGCACTGGGGACAGGAATGTGGCACTAGGGACAGGAATGTGGCACTGGGGACAGGAACATGTCACTAGGGACAGGAACATGGCACTGGGGACAGGAATGTGGCATTGGGGACAGGAACGTGGCACTTGGGACAGGAGAGTGGCACTGGGGATGGAAATGTGGCACTGGGGATTGGAAGGTGGCACTGGGGACAGGAATGTGGCACTCGGGACAGGAACATGGCCCTGGGGACAGGAACATGGCACTGGGGATGGGAATGTGGCACTGGGGACAGGAGAGTGACACTGGGGATGGAAATGTGGCACTGGGGATTGGAAGGTGGCACTAGGGACAGGAACATGGCTCTGGGGATGGGAATGTGGCAGGGGACAAGAACATGGCAGTGGGGACAACAAAGTGGCACTGGGGACAGGAATGTGGCCCTAGGAATGGGAACGTGGCACTGGGGACAGGAACATGGCACTGGGGATGGAAATGTGGCACTGGGGACAGAAAAATGAACTGGGGACGGGAAAATGGCCCTGGGGGTGGGAATGTGGCACTGGAGACACCAAAGTGGCACTGAGGACAGAAACATGGCTCTGGGGATGGGAAAGTGACACTGGGGACAGGAAGGTGGCCCTAGGAATGACAACATGGCCCTGGAGATGGGAATGTGGCATTGGGGACAGAAAAGTGGCACTGGGGACAGGAACGTGGCACTGGGGATGGGAAAGTGGCAGTGGGGACAAGAACATGGCACTGGGGACAGAAAAGTGGCACTGAGGACAGGAAAATGGAATCAGAGAATTGCTGAGGTTGGAAAAGCCCTCTGGGATGATCAAGTCCAACCATGACCCCACACTGCCAAGGCCACCACTAACCCACGTCCCCAAGTGCCACATCCACGTGTGGCCTGACCGCCCCAGGGATGGTGACCCCAGCCCTGCCCTGGGCAGCTGTGCCAGGGCCTGACTCCCCTTCCTGTGAAGGAATTTAAGGAATTTCTCCTGATCTCCACTCCAAACCTACCCTGGAGCAGCTTGAGGCCTTTCCTCTTGTGCCTTGGACTCAGGAGAAGAACCCAACCCCCAGCTGGGTCACCCCAGGAAGTTGCCAGAGGCACCTGGGGGTGGGAGCAGGAGCTGGAGAAGGGATTGTGGTGCCTGGGGGTGGGAACAGCCCCTGGGGACTGGGACATGGTACCTGGAGGTGGGAATGTGGCTCTGGAGATTGGAAACACCACGCCTGGGGATGGGGACACAGTGCTTGAGGATGGGAACGTGGCTCTGGAGATGGAACCATGGCTCTGGAGATGAGAGCATGGAATCTGGGAATGGGAATGTGGCTCTGGAGAAAGAATCCTGGTTCTTGAGGGCAGGAACATGGTATCTGGAGATGGAACCATGGCTCTGGAGATGGAACCATGGTTTCTGGGAATGGGAATGTGGCTCTGGAGATTGGAACACAATGCCTGGGGATGGGAACACGGTGCTTGAGGATGGAAACGTGGCTCTGGAGATGGGACTATGGCTCTGGAGAAGGAACCATGGCTCTGGAGATGGGACTATGGCTCTGGAAATGGAACCATGGTTCTGGAAATGGAACCATGGTATCTTGAGATGGGAACATAGAATCTGAGAATGGGAATGTGGCTCTGGAGAAGGAATCCTGGTTCCTGAAGATGGGAACATGGCTCTGGAGATGGAACCATGGTTTCTGGGAATGGGAATGTGGCTCTGGAGATTGGAACACAATGCCTGGGGATGGGAATGCAGTGCTTGAGGATGGGAACACGGCTCTGGAGATGGAACCATGACTCTGGAGATGGAACCATGGTATCTGGGAATGGGAATGTGGCTCTGGAGAAGGAATCCTCGTTCTTGATGATGGGAACACAGCACTGGAGACTGGAACACATTGCCTGAGGATATGAATGTAGCTCTGGAGACTGGAACACTCTGCTGAAGACTGGAACGCGGCACCTGAGGACCGGAACGTGCCACTGCAGCTGGCAGCAGTGCCTGGGGACACGAACATGCCTGCGGAACGCGGTGAGCCGGTGGGCAGCGCCCGGTGAGCCCTCGGGGCCGGCTCCGTGCGGAGCCGGGACTCGAACCCAGGTCCTTGGGGACGGTCTGTGTGTATGTGCGGGGCGCTGCCGGCAGGGGGCGCTGTCGCGGGGCCGCGGCGCGCGCGCCTTTGTTGCCGTTGGCGCCTCTTCCTGCGCCGGGCGGCGGCGGCGGCGGCGCGCGCGCGGGCGGGGGCGGGAGCGGGAGCGCGGCGGGGCCGGGAGCGGCGGCACCGGGAACGGCGGCACCGGGAGCGGCACCGGGAGCGCAAGCGCGGCTCGGGCTCGGCGGAGCGGAGCGGCGGGAGCATGGAGATGGAGAAGCGCTTGACGCTGGAGCTGCGCAACAAGAAGCCGAGCGAGGTGCGGCGGGGGAGCGCGGGGCGGCACGTGCTGCGGGCGGGATGAGGGGTTGGCGGCGGGGGGAAGGTTGGCGGTGGCGGAGCGGCCCGCGGGGGTCCCGCACGGCGGGGACCGGGCGGGTTTGGCGGGGTGGGGACGGGGCGGTTGTGGCGGGAGCGCTCCCGCCGGGCCCGCAGCCCCGGCATGGCGGCGCGCACGTGCGCGGCGGGGCCCGCCCGCACCGGGGCCGCGCTGGAGGCGGCGGTGGCGGCGGCGGGGCCCGGCCCGGCCCGCGGAGGGGGCAGCGGGGAGCAGCGGGACGGGCAGCGGGCAGGGCCGGGCCCCGCCGCGCCGCAGCCAGCGGGCCCGGGGAACGGGGCGGCCCCGCGCGGCCATGGCGGCTCGGCCATGTTAGCGGGGCCCCGCCGGGCCCGGAGCGGCTCCCGCGGGCTCCTCCGCCCGGGGAAGGGCTCGGGGGCTGCGGGGATGAACCTTTAGGTGCCGCCGGGGCCGCCCGTTCCCCTCCGCTGGCGGCCGCGGGGCCGGGCCCAGCGCTCCGCACCCGCCCCGGGGCCGCCTCATCCCCGGGGCCGCCTCATCCCGGGTCTCCTCCGGCCGCCCCTTCACGGATCTTCCCTTTTCCTCGGGTCTCCCCGGATCTCCCCTTTCCTCGGATCTCCCCTTTTCCCCCGGTCTCCCCCCTCACTTTTCCCTTGATCTCCCCGCTCTCTTTTCCCCGGGTCTCCGCGACCCCTGTTCCCCGGATCTCCCCGTTCCCCTTTCCCTTGGATCTCTCATTTTCCCCTGGATCTCCCCATTCCCTGTTCCTGGATCTCCCCTTTTCCCCGGCTCTCCCCGCTCTCTTTTCCCTGGATCTCCCTTTTTCCCGGCTCTCCCCTTTTCCCGGGCCGCTCCGCCGGGCCGTGCCCGGTCCCTCCCTGGCCCCGGGGACACTCGGTGGTGCCGTGGCACCGAGCACGGGGGGGAACGGGCGGCGAGCGGGGCTTTGGGTGGAGATTAAAGCGGCTCCGTGCAGGGCCAGGGGATTTGCAGGAGCAGAGCGGCTGAGCAGGAGGAGCTGCGGGCGCCAGGAGCTGCAGAGCCAGCGGGGTCAGGGCCGGGTGTCCCTGCGTGTCCCGGGACCTGCTGAGTGTCCTGGGACCTCAGAAAGGGCCCGGCCTGGGGTAAAGCTGGGCTTGGCTGGGTTAGGCTCTGCTGGGGCTGCCCCTGGATCCCTGGCAGTGCCCAAGGCCAGGCTGGACAGGGCTTGGAGCAGCCTGGGACAGTGGAAGGTGTCCCTGCCATGGCAGGGGATGGGCTTTGATGTCCCCTCCAACCCAAACCATTCCGGAATTCCATGATAACCTGCTGGAGTTTGGGCTCACCTCTGTGCCCACACCTCACAGCAGCAGCCACCCAGGCCTGGCCTTTGCCACCTTTCCCCCCACCACGGTGACAGTCCCACTTTGGCTGGAGCACATCAGTTTTCTGACGTGTTGGGGAGCAAAACAAACTCTGCTCCAGAACTTCAGAGAGCCTCACCTCAAACCCCCGAGCAGCAATGCCACTTGAGGAGTTTGAGGTGATAATTCATTCTGAGCTTGTGCTGTGCAGGTGGCAGAGATGGCCCTCAGCCCCAGGCTCTCTCTCTCTGGGAAGGCAGAATGTTTGAAATGACTCTGGGAGCTGGCTGGTGTGAGCAGGAGAGGGAAAATGGGAGCGCTGCGAAGGAGGGATTTGGAGAGCGCCACAAGCCTTCTGGCCAAGGCTCATTTTTGCATCTTGCTGTCAAGAATGTGTGGGGTGAAAGCAGGTTTTGGGAGTGGTTTGTGAGAGCTGGGGCTGCATCTGGGGAGACAGGGGTGTTTCCCTCCAGGATAGTTCTGTGCTGGTGCTTGGTGGTCCTGGTGGCACAGAGGGGTTGATTCCTTCATGTGCTGAACCTCCTGGAGGTTCCTGGATGTGGAATCCATGCTGGGCACAGTGTTTGGTGCCATCAGTGGTCTTGTGTCACCAGCCTGAGGCTGGGCTCGTGTGCTGAGCCCTGCCCAGGCACCTGTGTCACCTCACTGTCACTGTCACAGCGAGCTCAGTCCTGTGGGGACGGGTTTCCTGGCACCCCAGGGGTGTGGGGGGACAAAGTGGGAGGGGACAAACCCAGCTGACCTCGTTTGGCCCCTCGTTAGCAGAGCCTGAAGCTGACTCTGAAAGCTTTATTGATGTGCAGGGAGCTTTGGGATGTGACCTCGTGCTTCCAAACCCCTGGAGGTGGGGACTTGGTGGGGACAGCAGCAGCAGTGTGTTGGTGGCTTGTGCTTAGAGGCTGAAACCCCAACCATGGTGAGGGACTGTCACCAAAAGTTGTTTGGTTTTAAGGTCCTCAATTTGAGTGAGGAGGACCTGGAGGTTCAGTGCTCTGTGCTCTGGGTGTGTTGGTGATGTCACCTCGAGGCCAGGGGACGGTGGCAGCTGTGGTGCCAGCTCTGGGTGTCCCTGTGCAGGTGAAGGAGCTGGTCCTGGACAACTGTCGCTCAGAGGATGGCAAGGTGGTCGGCCTCTCCTCAGACTTTGAGAACCTGGAGTTCCTCAGCATGATCAACATCAACCTGCTGTCCGTGTCCAACCTCCCCAAACTCAACAAGCTCCGGAAGGTGAGTCAGGACTCTGCTGCCATCTCCAGCAGCCCTTGGCCTTGTGCTGCCCCTGGTGGCTGTTGGTTTTTCTGTGTTTGCCAGAAAATATCTTGAATTTTGCTCCTTGTGTGCTGAGCAAGTGAGAGGGGTCGGTTTGAACATGCAACAAAACCCTTCTGAGCTCTTCAGGTGTTTAGTGCCCTTCCTGTCTTGCTTTTCTGCTCTTGGGCTGCTGTCAGAAGGTTCGTGACACCATAAATATTTTGGATTTTGGAGCACTTACCAGCATGGGGGTGGTTGGCAGAGCTGTGCCCCTGCAGGAAAGGGTTTTTAAGGACAAACTTGACCTGCTGCTCTGTGAGCTGAAATTTGGGTGCTCGTTGCAGCCCAGTTCTCAGTGCAATTTCCTTCCCTGTATCACGAGCTGAAACACTTGGTGACCATGTGATATTCCCTCCCTTCAGCTGGAGCTGAGTGATAATAGGATTTCTGGTGGCCTTGAAGTTCTAGCAGAGAAAACTCCCAACCTGACACACTTGAACCTAAGTGGCAACAAGATCAAAGACATCAATACCCTGGAGCCCTTGGTGAGTGGAGGCTGTGCTGGAATCCCAGGGATGGCTTTTCCTTTGGGGATTGGGTCTGTGCAGCAGGAATCCAACGTCTTGGTCACTGTTCCAACAGCACTTCGTGGTTCTGATGGGAACAGATTTGATCCCAGTTTGAGGCTGGGCCAGTAGTTAATGGCTCCTCAGTCTGGAAAAGCAGCAGCCAGTTGCTAAAAGAAGCGTGCAATGGGGCTGGATGAGTAAAACTGTGGATGCTCAGTGCCCAGCTGAGAAGGGACCGGGAAAGGGTCGGAGGCAGCTGGAGGTAGGTGGCACCTGGGGTGTCATGGAATGAGGTAACTGGACAGCACTGAGGGCATCTGTCCCATCAGCCTGAAGGTTCTGCTGTGCCAGCACTGCAGGGCTCCCATTCCCATTCCCACAGTGGTCAGTGAGGCTGGAAAAGGCCTCTGAGGCTCAACTGAGCTGCCCCAGGAATGCTGTGAGGGACAGGTCTGACACAGGGCATGTGTCTCACTGGCTGTTTGTCCATCCATTCCCTCCAGAAGGAATTTGGGATTGTTTTGCTCCTCCTTTCCTTGGCATGGTGCCCGCTGTGACAGCCTGAGCTGGGCTGTGCCAAGGGCACCCAGGCTGCAGCTCTCCCTGAGCTCTGCCTGATCTTTTGAGCAGGATGAGTCCAGCTCAGCTGCTCCTGAGCTTGCTGGGCCTGCTCAGAAGCAAGAAAGATTTGCAAATACACAGAGAGTTTGTTCCAGAAAGGGAAGCCAGGACAGAGGAGCTGGACAGAAATTTCTTGTGCCAACAGTGAGAGGAGCAGTGACTCCTCTCCATCTGAGGAGCATTTGTGGCAGAACCACTCTGTGCTGCACCTGGGCAGTGCCCCAACCACCCTTCCTTGCCTTCTTGATCTTCAGACAGCACTGTAAATAACCTTAACAAATGGATTTTTTGCAGAAAAAGTTGCCAAACCTCCACAGCCTGGACCTGTTCAACTGTGAGGTGACGATGCTCATCAACTACCGGGAGAGCGTGTTCGCCCTCCTGCCCCAGCTCACCTACCTGGATGGCTTTGATGCTGATGAGCAGGAAGCCCCTGACTCAGACCCTGAAGCAGATGGGGATGCACTGGAAGATGATTATGAGAATGGGGAAGGTGAGGGTTTTTTCCTCCTCCTGGTTTTCCTGCTTGGTAACGACCCCTTTTGCACTTTAGGGTGGGTTCCAGCAATGGGGTTGGCACTGCAGGAGGGGCTCTGTGGGTCTTTACCCCATCTTCCTCCCCCAGCCCACTCCTGGGAGGGAATGGGACATGTTGGGAGGTGACAGGGCTTGTTGGGAGGTGACAGGGCTTGGTGCTGTCCCTCCTCATCCTCTGTGACCCCTGCCTGCTGCTCACACAGCACTGAGGGGTGAGAGGTGCCTGGGTTTGGGAACTGGGGCACTTCCCTCCCTCCCCCTTTTTGGTAGAAGGTGAGGAAGAGGAGGATGACGAGGAGGAAGATGATTTGGATGAAGAAGTCATTGATGACGAGGAAGATGAAGACGATGATCTGGAAGGTGAAGAGGAGGAGGATGGAGTAGATGATGAGGTGAGGCTGTCACCAGGTCGCACGTGTGTCCCTTGTGTGGTGACCCAGGTGTCACAGGAGCTTCTGTGGGGGCAGATCTCAGGAATTTGCCATCCATTCTGGCTTCTCCCTGCCCTCTGGGCTGCTGAGAGCCACAAACTGCAGGGAGTTTCCAGTTCAGCCCTGGCCTGGCACTTCCATGGCTCTGAGTGATGGATCATGCATCCATCCCTGGCATGTGAGGGGCTCTTGGAGATCCAGAGCTTCTCCTGCCACCCTCAGGCTTCAGAGGGGAGCAGGACTGGGATTACTGCTCAGGGAATTGGGGTTCTTGCTACAAACCCTCTTGTTTTCACTCCAGGAGGAAGATGAGGAGGAGGACGGTGAGGAGGATGAAGAAGATGAAGCTGAAGAGGGTGAGTTGAGTCCTAACAATCCAATTTCTTGCAGAGCTCCTTCAACAGTCAAATATTTGGTGTTTTTGGAGCTTCCTCAGCCTCAGTGCTGTTGTTGCTGCAGCTTTTCTGCCTGAGCTGGTGCTGAGCAGTGTCATCATCACCCAGGGTCACACAGGGAGGGAAAGGGATGAAATTCCAGCCATGCTGGGTAATTCTGGGAAATGTGAGAGGTCAGCTGCTCAGAAAAGCACTTCTGGGAACTGATGGGCCATGCAGGAGCAGGGCTTCTGTCCCAGGAGGGTCTGAGGGAATCTCTTGGGGGCACATTCCCCTCTCAGATCTGAGCTTGGGGCCAGGCTCCTCTGGCTGTACAAACAAACACCCAGATGAAAGCTGGCAGAATATTGTGGCTGGTGTGAATTCAAATAATCTTGGATGAATCATGGAATTGTTAAAGCTGGGAAATCCCTCTAATACTGAGTCCAACACCACCATGTTCAGCTCTGACCCCTGTCCCCAAGTGCCACATCCACATTTTTTTGAGCAGTTCCAGGGATGGTGATTCCTGGGCAGCCTGTGCCAATGCCTGACCTCCTTCTCCATGAAAGAATTTTTCCCAATATCCCATTTAAGCCTCACCTGGTGCAACTTGAGGCCATTTCCTCTTACCCTGTCTTACCTTGTTACCTGGGACAAGACTGGCTGTCCCCTCCTGTCAGGAGCTGTGCAGAGCCACAAGGGCCCCCCTGAGCCTCCTTTGCTCCAGGCTGAGCCCCTTCCCAGCTCCCTGAGCCTCTCCTGGTGCTCCAGCCCCTTCCTCATCTCCATTCCCTTATCTGGACATGCTCCAGCCTCTCAATGTCCTCCTTGGAGTGAGGGGCCCAAACCTGCCCCAGGATTTGAGGCCTCAGCAGTGCCTGAGCTTGGTTAGGAGTGCCTGATTCTGCAGATGCTGTGGTTTTGAGGGTGCTCAACAACAACAACAAAAAAATCCCATTTTCATCTGTTGTACAGGATGCTTGGAGGGCAGAGAAAGTTGTTGGTGTCTCATGTGAGCCCAGGCTTTTGCAGGAGGGGCAGGGCAGGGTGGATCTGCTCCCAAATGGTGCCAGTCTGTCCAGGGGATCTGCTCCCAAATGGTGCCAGTCTGTCCCAGGGATCTGCTCCCAAATGGTGCCAGTGTGTCCTGGGGATCTGCTCCCAAATGGTGCCAGTCTGTCCCGGGGATCTGCTCCCAAATGGTGCCAGTCTGTCCCATGGATCTGCTCCCAAATGGTGCCAGTCTGTCCCATGGATCTGCTCCCAAATGGTGCCAGTGTGTCCCATGGATCTGCTCCCAAATGGTGCCAGTCTGTCCCATGGATCTGCTCCCAAATGGTTCCAGTCTGTCCCATGGATCTGCTCCCAAATGGTGCCAGTCTGTCCCATGGATCTGCTCCCAAATGGTGCCAGTCTGTCCCATGGATCTGCTCCCAAATGGTGCCAGTGTGTCCCATGGATCTGCTCCCAAATGGTGCCAGTCTGTCCCATGGATCTGCTCCCAAATGGTGCCAGTCTGTCCCATGGATCTGCTCCCAAATGGTGCCAGTCTGTCCCGGGGTTCTGCTCCCAAATGGTGCCAGTCTGTCCCATGGATCTGCTCCCAAATGGTGCCAGTCTGTCCTGGGGATCTGCTCCCAAATGGTGCCAGTCTGTCCCATGGATCTGCTCCCAAATGGTGCCAGTCTGTCCAGGGGATCTGCTCCCACATGGTGCCAGTCTGTCCCGGGGATCTGCTCCCAAATGGTGCCAGTCTGTCCCATGGATCTGCTCCCAAATGGTGCCAGTGTGTCCCATGGATCTGCTCCCAAATGGTGCCAGTCTGTCCTGGGGATCTGCTCCCAAATGGTGCCAGTGTGTCCCATGGATCTGCTCCCAAATGGTGCCAGTCTGTCCTGGGGATCTGCTCCCAAATGGTGCCAGTCTGTCCCATGGATCTGCTCCCAAATGGTGCCAGTCTGTCCCATGGATCTGCTCCCAAATGGTGCCAGTGTGTCCCATGGATCTGCTCCCAAATGGTGCCAGTCTGTCCTGGGGATCTGCTCCCAAATGGTGCCAGTCTGTCCTGGGGATCTGCTCCCAAATGGTGCCAGTGTGTCCCATGGATCTGCTCCCAAATGGTGCCAGTCTGTCCTGGGGATCTGCTCCCAAATGGTGCCAGTCTGTCCTGGGGATCTGCTCCCAAATGGTGCCAGTCTGTCCCATGGATCTGCTCCCAAATGGTGCCAGGCTGTCCCCTGCCAGCTCAGCTGCTGTCCCTGGGCTGGGCTGGAGAGTGAATCCCCCCTCTCTTTGCAGACCACCCGTGTGGGCAGAAGAGAAAACGAAGTCTAGAGGATGAAGGAGAGGAAGATGCAGAGGACGAAGAGGATGATGAGGATGACTGATGCCAGCGAGCCAATCAGTTTTACAGACTCTGACTGTGCTTGTCTTAACCTCCCCGTTGTGTCTGTGTGAGACTGTAAATCCCTGTCTCCCACTCCTCCTCCTCCTCCCCCTTTGTAATGGCTGCAGCGTCCACAATATATTTTTTTAAGATTTAGAATACTGTAGGCATTCAGGGGAATCTTCCATACAAGGCTCACGTTTTTTTCTCACAACTATCATGACCAAAGGCTTTTCTCCGTTCGGTGGTTTGTGCAGCAGCTTAAAAAAAAAAAGAAGCAAAAAAAAGCAAAAAAAAAAAAAAAAAAAAAAAAAAAGCCAAAAAAAAAAAGAGGAAAAAAAAAAATCTCCTCCTTAGGGTATCTGTGTGTCCCAAATCAGCTGTGCCACACTGGACCCAGAGCTCCAGCTGTCACCCTGCCAGCACAGAAGGCCTTTGCCACCCTCGTGCCCTCAGCCCAGGGCTCTGAAGATGCTTTTTGAGCCACCTCGGGTGCAAAATCTGGTTCATCTGCGTGGACTCACAAGGATCCTGAGGGTGTCTCAGATCTGAAATCATGGTGATGTGATCTCTGGACATGCTTGAAGATGCTTTAGTGCTGGGGATGGGGGTGCCTGGGGTTTTGGGGGAGGGAGGGAGGGGCTGCTTGCATGACCTGGTACCTCTGCGATGCACCTTGCAGTAACCCTGCACTTGCTTTCCTATTTTTATTTTATAAACTGGAACATTTTTCCCATCGGCCACTCAAGAACCATCCCTTGGGCTGTCCCAGGTGAGGGGGGTTCCTGTGGCTGTGCCTGTGCTGTGGGAGCCCTGCAGCAGCTTTGGGAAGGGATAGGGAATGCAGGTGAGGGGGTACTGCTCCTCCAGCCCTCATTTCACACTGCACAGCCCTGTGCAGCCACCACCATCACTGTGATCCATGCTCCTGCAGACCGTGTTAGCCTGGAAATTCTCAGGGTCCTTCTGCCAGCCAGTGCCACCTCTGCACGGGCCCCTGGTGCCAGCCTGGCCTGGGCATCCTCCTCTTCCTCCTCCTCCTCCTCCTCCTGGGTTCCCAGCAGGGAACAGAGCTCCAGCCTCGTGTCCCCACTGTGGGGGTGGCACCCTTTGGTGGCTGGAGGGAGATTTGGGGGAGCCAGGCAGGTTCATGCAGCATTCCCAACCCCATTGCCACCTTCCCTGCCATCCCAGAGGCGTCCAACCAGCGCATCCCTGGGGAGAAGGGAGGGACAGACAGAGGGACAGCCCGGGGGTGCAGACAAGCACTGGCACTTTGTGGCATTCCCACTGGGGGCTCCGTGTGCCCCCGGGGCCGAGGCTCCAGCCCTCCCCTCCCCTCCTGGGGGTGTGTTCAGCACATCCCCCCCTCCCTGCCTCGCTTCGCTGGTGTCTCTTGCATTGTACAGTCGCTGTGACCATTCGGAGAAGAACTAATCCTGTAAAATGCAAACTGAGTAACTTATAAATGTTTTAAGGAATTTAAAAAAAAAAAAGAAAAAAAAAAGTCAGAGCAGCAGTTACTTCTAATTTTTTTTCCCTGCATTTTTAGCAGATTGTATGGATTTTATATTAGCCTAGTAACTGTCAGGTTTTGATTGGTCAGACTAGTCCCAGAAATAAGGATCTCCAGCCCTTTTGTATCTTTTGTTACAAAATTTGGATAAAACTTTAATAAAGACTTCAGTTTTTAAAAATCCATTGCTATGGAGCTTGTCTTGGCTGCCTCTGCCTTGGGACCAGCCAGGAATGCTCGGAGTGGGGGCCCTGGGGCAGGTTTGGGTTTGTGCTGGGAGCAGGGACTGTCCCCTGTCCCCAGCAGGGCTGGGCTGGGCTCAGCCTGGGCTGGCAGGGACAGAGGGGGGGCTCTGCTGTGGGGTCTGCAGCACCCCCTGGGCCAGTGCTGCCCTTTGGGGGGCTCTGGGACAGCCTGGGAAGGGTCTCCCTCCTGCCTTTGGGGTGGCACTGCCCTGGAGGAGCAGGGCACTCACCTGTGCCAGCTGGGCACGGGCGCTGAGCTGTGCCCCCTGCCCCTCTTTGGGACCTCGGGGTGCCTCCCTTTGGGGTGCTCTGTGACCCCATGGCTCTGATGAGCTGTCACTGTCAGCTCTGAGCAGCTCAGGGACACTTCAGGGCCTGAGGGGACTGGGATGGACTGGGGAGGGCACGGTGCCAGCTCAGGGGGGGCTGCAGGAGAGAGCCCCGGGGCATCCCAGGTGCTGCTCATCCTGTGGGGGATGGCAGCAGGAGGAAGGAAGGGGTGGCAGGAGGACAAAGGATGGCAGGAGGAAGAAGAGGAAGGGATGGAAGGAGGAGGAAAGGATGAATGACAGCAGGAGGAGAAAGGATGGCAGCAGGGGGAAGAAAAGAATGGCAGGAGGAAGGAAGGGATGGCAGCACGAGGGAAGGGATGGAAGGAGGGAGGGAAGGGAAGGGAAGGGAAGGGAAGGGAAGGGAAGGGAAGGGAAGGGAAGGGAAGGGAAGGGAAGGGAAGGGAAGGGAAGGATGGCAGCAGGAGGAAGAAGGGATGGCAGGAGGAAGGGATGGAAGCAGGAGAAAGGGATGGCAGCAGGAGAAAGGAAGGGATGGCAGCAGGATGAAGGGATGGCAGCAGCAGGAGGAAGGGATGGGAGCAGGAGAAAGGGATGGGAGCAGGAGGGAAGGATGGCAGCAGGAGAAAGGAAGGAATGGCAGGAGGAAGGAGGAAGGGATGGCAGCAGGAGAAAGGAAGGGATGGCAGCAGGATGAAGGGATGGCAGCAGAAGGAGAGGATGGCAGCAGGAGGAGGGGATGGCAGCAGCAGCAGGAGGGGATGCCCACCCCGCCCATGTGGCCACTGAGCCTTTCCGAGCCTCTGCCGGTGTTTGTGGCCCCTCCCAGCGCTGGCAGCAGAGCAGGGCTCCCCTCCTCGGGAGCAGAGCAGGGGCTGCCGGCTCTGCCCTCGCTCCCAGCCCTCGCTCCCAGCCGCGGGCACCGGCAGGTCCCAGCACGCCTCCCCTCAAACCAGTTTGCAGCAAACTTTTCACCCCGCTGGGCTGGGCTGGCAGAGCGGGGCTGGGGGAGCCCCAGGCTGCTCCCACGGGGGGTGCAGCCCCCCAGGCTGGCACCTGGGCCCGAGCCCCTCCCAGTGGCCCTTCTGTGCCATGCTGTGCCCTCCGTGTGCGGCAGGGCTGGCACAGGCACGGGGGCTGCCCGGGGCCGGGGGTCCCACCCTGCTCTGTTGTTGGGGTGCAGCTGGCAGAGGCTGCAGCCCTGAGTGATCTGGGATGGGCTGGCAGGGCAGGGGCAGCACAGGGCGGCCCTTCCTCTTCCTCAGACCTTCCTCAGACCTTCCCCTTCCCCCTCCTCAGACATTCCCCTTCCTCAGACCTCCCCCCTTTCCCCTTTCCAAAACTCTTCCCTTTCCCCTTCACAAATTCTTCCCTTTCCCCTTTCCTAAACTCTCCTCTTTCCCCTTTCTCAAACTCTTTCCCCCTTTCCCAAACTCCTTCCTCTTTCCCAAACTCTTCCCTTTCTCCTTCTCCCTTTCCCAAACTCTTCACTTTCTCTCCTTCCCAAACTCTTTCCCCTTTCCCAAACTCCTTCCCCTTTCTCAGACTCTCCCCTTTCTCCTTCCCAAGCCAGCCCCTGGAAGTGCCAGCCCAGGAGCACAGTCTCACACCCCCTGTGTCCCCATGTCCCCCTCTTTTGGTTTTTTGGGGGCTCCTCAGTGCCAGCCCCGCTGCCCCCGCCCCACGGGGACTGATAGAGCCTCTCCCGGCTGCCACTCCTGTACAATTCCCATTTATTTTTCTGAGATCTCATTCCAGAGAAGTCCACTAACTCCTGAGAACCTACAGGGCTCCCTGCAGAGCCCCCGGGGCTGAAGCAACAAAACCTTTCAGGGGGAGGGAGAAACAGCGGCTCCGGCTGCTGGAGAGCTCCCGAAAATACAAAGCAAGGGGAGAGGAAATTCCAGGGGAAACATCGGCCCCTCTGCTGCTCCTGTCCCAGCTCAGGGCTGTGCTGTGCCCCTGCCCGGCTCAGGGGAGGTGCAGGAGTCCCTTGGAAGCCGAGGGCATCAGAGCTGGGAGTACAGGGAGTTCTCCATCTCCGGCGGCAGCTTGGCGTGGAACGGGGCCAGCCCCACCCCGAAATCTGCAGGGAGAGGGAAGAGTATGTCAGCACCTCGTGGGGAGGGGGGCACGGACCCCCAGGGGCATTGCAGGGGTTGGGGGGCACAGGGAGAGCACTGGGAGGGCACACAGAGACCCCCAGGGGCATTGCAGGGGTTGGGGGGCACAGGGAGGGCACTGGGAGGGCACACAGAGACCCCCAGGGGCATTGCAGGGGTTGGGGGGCACAGGGAGGGCACAGGGAGGGCACACAGAGACCCCCAGGGGCATTGCAGGGGTTGGGGGGCACAGGGAGGGCACAGGGAGGGCACACAGAGACCCCCAGGGGCATTGCAGGGGTTGGGGGGCACACAGAGCCCAGGGGCAATGAGAGGCTGGGGGCACTGGGAGGGCAAGCACATGGACCCCTCCAGGGCACAGGAGGGGCTGGGGGGCACAGGGAGGGCACAGACACCTCCAGGGGCATCACAGGAGCTGGAGGCACTGGGAGGGCACACAGAGACCCCCAAGGACATTGCAGGGGTTCGGGGCCACTGTGAGGGCACACAGAGCCCAGGGGCACTGCAGGGTGTGCGGGGTGCAGAGAGGGCACACAGACACCCCCACAGACACCCCCAGGGGCATTGAGGGGCTGGAGGGCACAGGGAGGGCGCTGGGATGGCACACAGGCACCCCCAGGGGCATTACAGGGGCTGGGGGCACAGGGAGGGCACAGACACCTCCAGGGGCATTGAGGGGCTGGGGGGCACTGGGAGGGCACACAGAGACCCTCAAGGACATTGCAGGGGCTGGGGGCACTGGGAGGGCACACAGAGCCCAGGGGCATTGCAGGGTTTGGGGGGTGCAGAGAGGGCACACAGACACCCCCAGGGGCATTGAGGGGCTGGGGGCACAGACACCCCCAGGGGCATTGAGGGGCTGGGGGGCACTGAGAGGGCACCCAGACACCCCCAAGGACATTGCAGGGGATGGGGGCACTGGGAGGGCACACAAACCCCTCCCGGGCACTGCTGCAGGTTGGGGAAGCAGGGACTGGAACCCAGC